AAAAAAGCCGGAAGTGGCACTGTGGCTCAAGTAGTAGAGCACTAGGCTTAAGCTGAAGAGCTGAGGGACAGTGCCAGAGTTCAGGCCCCACGACCGGACCCCAAAAAAAAAAATTTAAAAAAAAAATTAAAAAAAGAAAAAAATTAACCTTTTAAGTGGATAAAATCTCATCTCCTCCCTGTCCCTTCCACTGTGGGTCTACCCTGTCTGTAGGGTGGCAGCAAATCTAGCCCTTTCTCACCTCGTAGCAGCCACACACTTCCCCTAGGCTTCTCTACAGTTGCTTCACTGGTGCAGCCAGAGTCCCCGTATTAAATTCCCTATACTGAAAAGACTTAAAGGGTAGTTTCTGTTTTCCTGAGTGGGCCACCCTATATGCAGGCCACCCAGGTTCAGTTAAATGTCATTAAGAACATTAAAAACCATCACAGAAGGTTGTGTTTGGCCCTGTTCCAAACCAGGAAAAGATGTAATGGGAAATTTTACTAAGGAGTTAGACATTTTACTTACCTAGTCCCAACTTTTTCTCTCGTGGTCTTAAAAGCTGTAGGAATAAGAAATATTTTAATACAAATAAAAATCTTTCAAATTTTACTCTTCTAATAGAAATATATCTGTCACCTACTAGATATTGAAATAGAATGATTTACTCTTTGTTGTTGTTGGTTGCGGGGCTTGAACTCGGCCTGGGCACTGTCCTTACGCTTTTCAGCTCAAGGCAAGCACTTTACCACTTGAGCCACAGTGCCACTTCCCGTTTTCTAGTGGTTTATTAGAGATCAGAGTCTCACAGACTTTCCCGCTTGGGCTGGCTTCAAACTGTGATCCTCAGATCTGAGCCTCCTGAGTAGGATTACAGGCGTGAGCCACCAGCACCCCGCACTCGTTTTTATTTTTTTGTTGTTTTTTTTCCAAAGAAAAAGTTTGGTAACAAATCAATAGTTATTAAGCTTTGGAGAATAATCAATGTTCTTTAGCCTTTAATCTTAGCATTTGTTTTGTGGTGACACTACCCTTTCATTTAAACAATATTATCTTTACATCTAGGGCTTGAACTATAATTTTAAATCATACTGATGCTTTCCAGGCTTTCACTATTGTCCTATGCCCTTCTTCCTGAGTGTCTAGTAGCTATGTCCACTCTCCTAATGTGCTTTGTGATTTTAAGTGCTGGTCCTGCTCTCACTACTTGCTCTTCCTCCATAAACTTAGATTGGCTCCATACTTCCACATCTACTGTTCCAGTAATAAGTGATATTCCTAAAAAGTGGCTACATTCTTTTCTTTTTTAACAGCTTGTAAATTACTTGTTTTTGTAAGCTTTCTGTTTCCTATGTGATCCTTGACTTTACTGTTCAGCTTGTGCCTCTGGCTGGAAACTAATAACAGATGTTGTCCCCTTTTGTACTAGGCCATGGATAAGCAGGTTGCTTCAGATACTAAATCTCTAAACCAAGCAATTTCAGTTCAAGTCAAACGGGAGCAAATAATTAAAAACGAACAAACAAAACTACGTGCCATCTACTGAAGGTCTTGGGGCGACAAAAGATGAACAAAATACATGAACAAAAAAGAGCTTGTGGAGAGAAAAAACAGGTAAATAGTCATCTACAACCACAAGTCACTAAACAAAACCAGACAAGCTATGTCCTATCACAGCCAGGATTTATTTGATTTTGTGACTGATAGTTACTGACTGACTGACTGCACCTGGTGTCTGCCCTAACTGATTTTCTACAACCCTGTTCCAGCTAGAAAATCTTTCTTTTAAAAACTTCCCTCTGCTACTCATAATTTTCAGAGTGTTCAAAGGTTTATAGAGAACACAGTATGTTATTAGAGCAATTTAAAAAAGTGTGGGAATCTGGAAACAGAACATCTCCAAGGCACTCGCCTAAGTACTAGTGACAAAGGAGGACTACATTGTGTTTGAAAAGAAATAATAGATGGAGTGCCAGTGGCTCACGCCAGTAATCCCAGCTACTGAGGAGGCTGAGATCTGAGGATCACGGTTCAAAGCCAGCCCAAGCGGGAAAGTCTGTGAAACTCATCTCCAATTAATCATAGAAAAAGCCGGAAGTGTTGCTATGGCTCAAGCCTTAGAGTGCTAGCCTTGAGCAAAAGGAGTCTAGGGATAACACCCAGGCCCAGAGTTCAAGCCCCAGGACTGGAGGGGGGAAGGGGAGAGAAAAAGAAATAACAGCCCTGTACTACCTAATTCCACAGATAATATCTGCATAGAGAATTCCTTCCAAATTACTGGCCCACATCTCCTCCAGGGAGACTGTGATGCAGATTATAAGGTGTCCTTCAAAGGCAACTTCTGTTTTATTGCAGACAGACACATTTTATAAGTATTTATTCCTTTATGCATTTAAGTTTGAATTTTTCTATTTATTGTATTTTCCTCCAGGCCCTAATCCCACCTATGACATGCTCTGGTCCGTTTCTGCCTCTTTCCATCAATCTGGTGGTCCCATTTTTGTGGGGCAGGGCAGGATGGCATGTAGGCACCTGGACTCTGGAGCCACACTACTCCATTGCCAGTTGACTCTGGGCACATAAAGAGGTACAACAGAGCCACCTCTCCTATGGTCAGCATGAGGAAAAAATGAATTCATGAGTCCTTGAAGCTTGCCTATATATTTATCTGAGAGTCTCATGTATGGAATGGTGGCTAGTTATAGTTACTACTATCACATGACATACTTAAAACTGATAAACATTTCTTTTGGTGGTACTGGAGTTTGAACACAGAGCCTCATGTCTGTTTGGCAGGCACTAGCTCTTACCACTTCAGTTGTGACCCCAGAGCAGTAACACTGTCAGTGCCCACGCCAGCCAAGCAACATGCGTGCGTGCACAGAGGGGTCGCCATGGGATAGATACCGGGTGTGTGCAGTATCCAGCCAAGGCAGCCACTTCACAAGGTCCACAGGTAGCATCACCCTGAGCACTATAAATGTATTTGTCCAGTATACCTCAAAGAGCTGGAGAAAAATGACACAATAGAGGAGCTTCACCTAATTTCACACTGGAGGGCAGAGTGTGCCGGATCAACCCAGGCTGAGTCCTTCACAACACTGGATCTCCCTGTTCTCTAAGGACTACTATCAGTACAGAGTAAGTACCCTCATTATTCTGTGGTCCTACTATACTATCAGTGTTCATTGAGTTCGGAGTACTGTAGCTCAAGTCACAGAGCTCCTTCCTGAGAAACCCAAGGCTGATTTCAAAAACCAAAACCCCCCCCAAAAAAAAAGTGGCTCTTAGCAACTCATAATCTTAGCAAATAATTAACCTCTTGCCACAGTTTCCTCAGCTAGAGTTAAGAGGTTTTTTTTTTTGGGGGGGGGGGGGGGGGGGGAGGAAGGCAGTCCTAGGTCTTGAACTCAAGGACTAGGTGTTGTTCCTGAATCTTTTTGTACTCAAGGCTACAGCTCTACAAATTGAGCCACAGAACCACTTTTTGGCATTTTCTGACTAGTTTATTGGAGATGAATCTTGTAGACTTTACTGCCTTGGATGGCTTTGAACCTCGATCCTCAGATCTCAGCCTCCTGAGTAGCTAGGATTACAGGCATGAGCCACAGGTGCCTGGTTAGGTGTTTTTTGTTTTTGTTTTTTGAGACAAGAAACGGCACATCAAAGGCTAGAAGCCTGGACAACCAAGAACAGGCTTGAGAAGGACTTGAGAGGGACTCCCTCCCTATCTTCCTTGTCCATTCTCCTGCTGGCCCACACAGCCCTCCTCTGGGGCTCTAACACCCAAGATATGACAAGACATATCTTACTCTAACATTGAAATAGTAGATCTCATTCAGGTGCCCATGGCTTATACCTGCAATCCTAGCTATTCAGGAGGCTGAGATCTGAGGATCATGGTTTGAAGCCAGCCTGGGAAGATAAATCTGAGAGATTCTCATCTCCAATTAACTTATCAAAATGCCAGAAGTGGAGATGTGGCTCAAGTGGTAGACTGCTGGCCTTGAGTAAAAGAGCTCACATATGTACTTATTAAGCCTAGAAAGTTTTAAAAAATGTATCTTCCGGGCTGGGAAGGTGGTTCAGTGGTAGAGTGCTTGCCTTGCATGCATGAGGCCCTGGGTTTGATTCCTCAGCACCACATAAGCAAAAAGAAAAAAGCCAGAAGTGGCGCTGTGGCTCAAGTGGTAGAGTGCTAGCCTTGAGCTGAAGAGCTGAGAGACAGCGCCCAGACCCAGAGTTCAGGCCCCACGACCAGCCCCCCCCGCAAAAAAAAAAAAAAGACTGTATCTTCCTTGGCTTTTTTCCTGAAGCATTCATTTTGGCCAGTCAGAGAAGCTAGCTGACAAAGTGTCTGTGTGGGATAGGTACTTATTTGAGGAATTCCAAGCTGCTTTCATTAGTCATTTTTCTCCCCCACAACTACATGTACATATTCACTTAAATGTAAGTAAGTGCCATTCCTAGCATGATTTTTATGTCATTTTTCTAGTCTGTGATTCACAGACTAAAACTTTGGAGGGGGCAGGATCCTGAGGAGGGAGATGAAGTCTTACAATGTTGCCCAGCTGATCTTCAACACCTGGGTCCAATCAATCCTTTTGTTTCAGCCTCCAAAGTAGCTGGAACTACAGGTATGAATCACTGTGCCCCACTCTACTTTTAAGTGATTTACAGGACAAAATGAATACATGGGGATTTTATATAGCACCAGAAGGAAATCATGACAGTGAATGCCTTTTTTTTTTTGGGGGGGGGGGTCTGGTCGTGGGGCCTGAACTCTGGGCCTGGGCGCTGTCCCTCAGCTCTTCAGCTCAAGGCTAGCGCTCTACCACTTGAGCCACAGCGCCACTTCTGGCTTTTTTCTTTTTGCTTATGTGGTGCTGAGGAATCAAACCCAGGGCATCAGGCATGCAAGGCAAGCACTTTCCCACTGAGCCACCTTCCCAGCCCCTGAATGCTATTTTTTTTTCCTGAGGCTGATGCTGTTTTACAGTTTGAAAGGTTGGTTTAGTAAGCATTGCCTAAAATCAATCAATCAATCAATCAATCAATCATACCCCAAGGCTGTAGTTTTATGTAAAAGTATTCAAATGTCATGGTGATGGCCAGATTAGTCAGTAGCAAATAAGTCAGAGGGCTTCTGAAAGAAAAACTGGGGGCATTATTGGCCCAAAACATGAACATAGCATTCAAGTCACTAGCAAGTTGACTTGAAAAAAAATTCTTTTTGGTTTCTATGTTCTATGCATTAAAATTCCAAAGATGACTAGATAAGACAGATTCATTTGTGAGACAGATGGGAAGAACCTGCAGTAGAGATGGACTAAGATTAATACACTCCGGTAAACTTTTCCCACAACTCACCTGGGCCTCTATTCAACAATGGTTGTAGACATTATTTCTCCTATTGAGCTTAATCAAGAATACGGTTTTGGGCTGGGAATGTGGCTTAGTGGTAGAGTGCTTGCCTAGCATGCATAATTCGATTCCTCAGTACCACATAAACAAAAAAGCCAGAAGTGACACTGTGGCTCAAGTGGTAGACCGCTAACCTTGAGCAAAAGAAGCTTAGGGACAGTGCCCAGGTCCTGAGTTCAAGCCCCAGGCTTGGACCCCCCCCCCAAAAAAAAAATATATATACAGATCTACAGATATATAGATATATAGATTTTATGGTGATCAACTACCATTTCTTGAAAGTCAAGTATCAATATTTATTTTTTTATCAGTGAAGAGAGAAACTTTGTCCCTAAATGGACATTTAACAACATCAAGATACATTTTTGGTTACCAAGTGAGAAAGAGGTTGCTATCAGCACCTCATAGGTACAGGAAAGAGATGGTAACTCAACATCCTATTTTGCACAGGACAGATCCCCAAAGCAAGCAGTAATCTACCTCAAATGTCAACAGTGCTGAATGAGATACTGACTGGCCTATAATAAATGACAAAAATAAATCTCATACCTAGAAAAAGTATTGTTCAGTTAAATCTATATTATATGCTTTTGGGCCCCAGAAATGACCCAAAGTAGAACTCACAAATAAATATACAGAAGCACCTACAAATCCAAACTAGTAATCAAAAATACAAATTGTCCCCTCTATACAGTATTTTCACAATAAAAAAAATTGTGATGTATTATAAAACAAACTTGGCATTTGTCCAAATGACTCCAATGAAATATATGCTTCAGGGTACAGTTGGAAAATCTAAAATTTACAGCTTAAGAAAATCTCTTCCTGCCAGGCGCCGGTGGCTCACGCCTGTAATCCTAGCTACTCAGGAGGCTGAGATCTAAGGATCGAGGTTCAAAGCCAGCCCGGGCAGGAGAGACCGTGAGACTCCTATCTCCAATAAACCCCTAGAAAACCGGAAGTGGTGCTGTCACTCAAGTGGTAGAGCGCTCGCCTTGAGCTGAAGAGCTGAGGGACAAGCGCCCAGGCCCAGAGTTCAAGCCCCACAACCCCCAAAAAACAAAAAAATACAAAAGAAAATCTCTTCCCACTGAAGTGTTCTGCAAGATACAATTTAAAATGCCAACGGTTCTGAAGTCATTGAACAATTGAAGTCATTGAATTGAAGTCTTTCCCACCTACAAGATCCTGCTATGGGCAGTATGCTGAGAGTGCAAGCATAACAAAGAAAGGGACCTCAAAACACACAATGACTGCAATCCTACTCTGCGACAGTCCTTTAGAAATGCTGTTCTTTAATTTTGCCATTCATAAAACCAGACTGCATCCCAAGGCTCTGCTCCCTCTTTTGCTTTAAAGTTACCACTGCTCTGATACACCAGATATGGAAAAACTTAAGCACAATGAAAAACTGTTTAAATCCCAAGGGCATAAAAGATGCCTGTCATCTGTTCAGTTTTTTGGCAAACACCACTTTAAGGCATTGTCTATTTAGCATCTTGTCCCTATACAAATATACTCCTAGGACAGCAAAGTGTTCATTGCAACTTACAATTCTGTCCGACCCGTAGATCTTTTCCAACTGCTCAGCAACATCCCTTGTTCCATCTGGACTTCCATCATCTATGATTATAATCTCATAGTTGATTCCACTAAAATAAATAAGTAAATTTGCATGAATGTTTGTAGACAGTGTCTCAGATTTCACAGTAAGTTTTTAATTTCTCATCAGCCTAAGTGGAAACTGACTGCCTGCAAGATGTACACAAGAACACCTGTCATGTCTTCCCTACTTTAAGACATAAGAAAAATGAAAGAAAAGGAGGCAACAACATTGTTTCTTCTTGATCTTGTTTTAAGGTACCTTGCAAGGAAATCAACCAGAAAAGCCATCCCATTGTTAAAGGCTTTAAAAAAGTTAGAGCCCTCACAAACTATTTAGAAACAAAAGTAGTCCATTCTTCACATGGATACAATGACTTCCACTTACCACAGTACCTTACCTTTGATAACAAAACATGCCTCAACATGAAAAGTTTTAAGCCTAGTAGACTAACAAATGAAGTCTTCTTCAAAAACAAAATTCAGCCACTCACAAGCAACATTATTACCCTCTCCATTTCAGCCACACCTCCCTAACATTGTAAATGCAGAATACAAACTAGGAACAAGACTGGCTACAGGATGGTTAACTGATCTTATTTAGAAGGAGTCAGCAGAATCAAATTAAAAAGATAAGCCAGCTGGGTGCCAGTGGCTCATGCCTGTAACCCTAGATACTAAGGAGGCTGAGATCTGAGGATCATGGTTTGAAGCCTGCCAGGACAGTAAAGTCTGCGAGACTCTCATCTCCAATAAACACTCAAAAAATGCTAGAAGTGGCACTGTAGATCAAGTAGAGCACTAGCCTTGAGCTCAGGGACAGTGCCCAGACCCTGAGTTCAAGCCCCAGCGCTGGCAAAAAAAAAAAAAAAAGGAAAAAGTTACCAACAACTGTAGCTGGCCTGGTGGTTTATGCCTGTAATCCTAGCTACTCAGGAAGCTGAGATCTGAGGGCTGCAGTTCGAAGCAATGAGCCTCTTATCTCCAATTAGTCACCAAAAAAGCAGTAAGTGGAGCTGTGACTCAAGTGGTAGAGTGCTAGCTTTGAGCAAAGAAGCTCAGAGACAGAGCTCGCGCCCTGAGTTCAAGCTCCTGGGCTGGCACAAACAGCAACAACAACATATTTGCGCAGTTATTTTAAAAAATACGTGAAGAACAAACGGCTTTCGCCAATTAATAAACGTTTCCGCAGCAGTTTTGGCTAACTGGTTGTATCCGTGTTTGCAGCAAGGCTGAATGGATAACGAGAAACTAGCTGCCTGTCAAGTACTTTTCGAAGTGCTGGGAAATGCAGTGGGAGCTCTATCCTCACATTCTCAGGTATAAAACAAGCTCAAAACATACTTCTCCAAATAGCCCGTGTTCACCGGCACGACCGGGCTAAATAACGGAGCCTAACTGCCAAGGTAATTCTCTGATGTGAAAACCACCCAACCCTTCCAAAGGTTTTTCACAGCCGCAGGACCTGTTTATTTTACACTGGCACCCGGATTTCCTGGGTTATTTTTCACTTCTGTAGCTGCCTAGCAATTCCACACCCGAACGTCGACGCTCCCGGTGCCCCCGCCCCCCGGCAGGGGTGAGCGGCGTTTCCCGCGGGGTCAGCCCCGCACGAGTGCCCGAACCTCAGGCTTACATAAGCCCCGGGGGAGGAGCGAGCAGCGCACGCTCCGATTCCCGGCTTCGGCGGTGGGTCGTGACGGCCCGGAGCCGGGAGAGGCCGCGCTCTCAGCCTCGCCGCCCAGGGAAAACGGGGACACGGGCGGGGGAGGAACGGTGACAGAGCCCAAGGGCAGGAAAGAGTCACCCAGGGCCCGAGAACCCGGGAAGACCCGCTGCTGCCCTCCTCCAAGGGTGTCCTCGCTCTGCGGGGGCCGGGCCGCGTCGGACAAGGGCCAGAGGAGGCCGGGCAGGGCCGGGCCGCCGCGCGCAGCCAACGGCCCGAGCGGGCCGGGGAGGCCGGCTCCGCTCACCGCTCGGCAGGGCGGCCGGGGACGCTACCTCTCGGAGAAGCTCTTCACCAGCAGCCACACGATGAGCGGCAGGTTCTCGCGCTCGTTGTAGGTGGGGAGAAGCACCGAGTACTTGTCCGGCCCGCGGGAGCGGCCCCCGGGCTCCCGCCGAGACGCCGGAGCGCCGCGAGCGGCCCCCACGGAGGCCATGGCGGAACTGCGCGCGACGCCGGAGGCGGAACGGCGTCATCGGCGTGGGGCCGTACCAAGCGCGCGCGGGGGGGCGGCGTCACGGGGTTCCAGCCTTAAGGCATCGAGCGGTTCGCTCGGAAGCGCCGAAAACGTAGGACGATTTTGCTGAAGTTGGACGGTCTCTCAGGAACATGCTCGTCTGCTCGGCGGCGCCCCCGGGCTTCCCGCAGCGCCGTGGTTTCTTCCAGTCGCTAGGCGACAGAAAGCCGGAAGCGGAAGTCCTCCCGTTTCCGGAGGAGGTCGCTATGGCTGCTCGCGAGGACGTCGTCGCCTTACAGGCCGAGGTTGCCCTGCGTGAGGAGCAGCTGAGCTCCCTAAAAGAGAGGCTGGCGGCGGCCCTGCTGGCCGAGCAGGGCGCGGAGCCGGAAAGGCTGGCTGCTGTGCCGCCGCTCCCGCCGAAGCCCGCCCTGTCGCGGGCCGAGATCCTGCGCTACAGCCGCCAGCTGGTGCTGCCCGAGCTGGGCGTGCGCGGGCA